CCCCGTTTCCAAACGGGTATTGCAGCTAAGCTAGCCGTCAGGCATCAGGAAGTAAAGACAGCATGACTTCCACATCTGGAGTTTTCTCTCCTGATGAGGTTTGTGATTTAAAAGAAACTACAAACTGCTCTGAATCTTTAGTGTGAGCATGTAATTCCTCCTCCAACAAGATGGAGAATCATGTAGCCAGGTTGGCTTGTTTTTTGTTTGTAGCTTGCCCTTACTAGCCTATGTCTTAGCTAGCGTTAGCTAAAAACTTGACACACAACGAACGAACGAACGTCACAGACAGAGAAGCTGAACTGTGCTAATCAGTAGAGATATGTTTATATTTCTGTTCATTTTTCTATAAACGTGCATTATTCTAGCTGGTTTTAGTCAGGTGACTGGCTCTGAAGGAAAACTCGTTGTGGATTAGCTAAACAGGCAGACTACTGCTTTATGTCCCTCTCTCTCATTACGGCTTTTCAAAATGGCGGATTGCCATGGAAACTTCTGTGGACTAATCCGTCCTGTGTATGTACAGATAGGAAATTCTTCCTTATGAGGAGAAGTCAGATCATTGCAGAACATGATTTTAGCTAGTAAAATATCTAAATACTACACAGTGTCCCTTTAAGCTTTTTTTGGATGTTCCCAGTCTGTTTTTTTCCCACACGGATTTTAACAGCTTTCATTTAAGCATGTAACTAGCATTTAAGAATATAACTAGCTTGAAGACAAAACCTTAAACTTTTGTTTTCACGTTTGAATGGAGGGACAGATTGAAGTTTGGACAGGAAAAGAGGAAGCTGTGCTCACTGGTCACGATGATGTCGAGGCCATTGCTGGTCTCGCCGCTCTGGGACAGGCACCAGTAGCGGTCACTGTCCGACATGTGGGCGCTGCGGTTGATGCAGGACGAGCCGTTCCTCTTGCCCCCACGGTCACACACGAAGACGGGCTGCGAGGGGGTTCTCATCAACATCCAGCCGGCCCCGCCGCAGGTCAGGTTGAAGGACTCGTAGCGGAAGAACTGAGGCCTGTTCGGCTCGATGGTCAGCAGAACGGCGCCTAAACCAGAAGCCAGAGCCCGTTAGCTGCTGTCAGGGAGG